CCTGAAAAATTTAATTCAATCATTAAACCTAATCAACCAGTAGCTCTTACACAGGATGCTCCTACACAGGATAAGCCTGTAAAAGCTTGAAAAAGGTTGATTATAATGTGTTGTCCCATATGAGGAAATTGTTAGCGAAACTCAATATACATGATGCTATTATCACAGCCAAAGAGATAAGAGATTCACTAATTAAAGCCTTACTAGACCCTAAAATCTGTATGGTTCAACTGGTATCTAATCCTTCAAATGGAGAAGTAAATTACTTTAATGATGTTCCTCGGTTAAATTTTATTGATAATGACCTACTGTTAAGGACAAATGATTATAATCGACCACTTTACATTACTGTAAATGTTGGACAATTTAGGTTGTACAAAGTTCTCATTGATCCGAGTGCATCGATCAATATTATGAATTTAAGAACCCTTATGTACCTTAACATTGATACCCAAAAGCCTTCATTTGACAAGATGTTATTGTGTGGATCAACGAGAAAGGTAAAAGAGCTTTAGGCTCGATAACCCTCTTACTCAAGATCAGAGATTTCCAGACTGAAGCAAAATTTCACATCATCGACTCAAACTTTAGTTAATGCATTGTTGGGGTGACATTAGCTTCACGAGTATCAGATAGTGCCTCCTTCCCTCCACCAATATGTCAAATATTGGCGAGATGTTGAATACTGTAACAAATGTGACTTATAACTATTCTCAATCCTTGAACTTGAAATTTATGAAGGTGCAGCATATTACTTGCTGAAAAAACAAGTGGTTTTCTCCAATGAATTACCTATTGCAAAGAAATTGGAAGACAAAGAAGAAAAGAAAAAAGTTGAAAAACAAAAAAAAAAGAAGATGATGAAGATATTATAGAAAAGAAATAGATGAATAAATAGAAGAAAAGTAATGAGAAAATGAAGATGTTGAAAAACAAGAAGAAAACATAGAAGAAGATGATACATTATCTGATAAGGATGATGGAGCTCAGATAGTTATTCAATATTCATACACCTCTCCAAACTTACGAATAGGCAATAATTTTACCAAGACTAACAGTCCTAGAGAATGACCAAGTATTAGTTGGAAGAACTTTCTCACCAAACTTGAAGAATAGAACACTTGCAGTGTGCATTGATTTAGGGTTGTTTGGTGCAGCTTATTTACTGTGGTGCGGCATGAAAACGTAATTAGGATCGTTTGGTTAATGCAGTGAAGCTGCTTTTTTGGGAAAGACATAAGAAATGAGGGCTACGAGTTCGACCCGGCGACAAGCATTTCTTTGTGATTCAATTACTTCCCCTACCCCGCTGAGTTCTCGCGATTGCTTTCATCCCAGCTCTCCCTTATCTCATCTCTCGTGATTTTTGCCCTAAAATTGGATCTCTCATTCCTCTTCAATCTGTGGGTTTGGTTTGTTTCCTTTCTCTTATCCTCCCTCTCCGCTCTGTTCTTCAGCTGGTTGGTGATTGTTGCGGTAATCTTGCTTCTCGATCCTCTTGGACCATTGGATCTTTGTTGTCCCTATGGTATTCTCTGCGGCCTTCTGTTGAGGCATTTTGAATTAGGGTTGAAAGTTTCGGTTCTTTGCTTTGCTTTGATATTTTCGATTTGTTGGGTTGTGATGTTGGAATTTTGTGGATTTTAGTTTGTGTGGTTGATGGATTTCGGTTTTTGGTGCTCTATTTGGTTGATGGATTTGGGTGGTTGTGTTGTGTTGTTGGATTTTGCAATTTTATTGGGCACTCCGTTATATTTTTGGTTTAATTGTCTTTATTCCCTATTCACTATCCGGTTGATAAACTTGAATGGTTGTGCTATGATGTCATTTGTTGCTCCAAATTTGGTGTTGGTGGTGGTTTCATTCGGAAATTAATTTAATGCAAATGTGTTTTTTGTGGTTATACTATAATGCCCTAGTTTGTGACGGTGGTGATTTTACGGTGGTTCTACACCTCCATGGTGGACGGCATAGCTCGTGATATATGTCGTCTGCATTTTAAAAATAATATTAATATATTATTAAATACTTTTTAATAGTTTTTTTTCTTAATTTTAGTAATAATAATATCATTTTAAAAATAATATTAATATATTATTAAATACTGTTTTAATAGTTTTTTTCTTAATTTTAGTAATAATAATACTCACTATTAGATGAGGTGTATGTATCTTTTTTTAAAATATTCTGCACCGAATTTTTTCTTCAAAGGTATAAAATATATTCGTATGACTATTGTGTCGCAAACAATATTACTATACAAGAGCATAATGGTCATTTGTATAGAAACAACTGCAACACAATTGCTTTCAAACTGCAAAAACAAACAGACAGTCAGCTTACTCGTAGCAGCTTCTGTGCAGTAGCTTCCTGTGATAGTTGTTGTGCAATAGCTTATTATTAAGATGCAGCTGCCCCAAATGGACCTGTGGAGTTCAGTTTGGATGATGAGTCGTACACTATATGTTGGAATGTTGATTCGATGAAGATGGAAAATCATAGAGAATTTTAGCTGTAACACCACTATCTATCGATATTGTGACAGAGTTGGATGTTAAAGTTTTGTCTCAGTTGAATGGTTATCAGAGTCAAACTTTTATAAGGGATTCTTGTCTTTCAGCATTAAAAAAGATATAGAATGTGAAGATAAAATTTTGAATGAATTAATAGAACTCTCTTTTGATTGGTATAAGGAATTACAAATATAAAATAAAATATGAATGAATTTGAAGTCTTTACCGTAGTTCATTTTGGTTCAATTTAAAATTTGGTTGAATTGGCTAAATTTGAATTACTTTGTTCACTAAAGAATAAAATAATATCAACAGGCTCTAACCCACGGGACACCTTCGCCCTCGTCGGCACCAACCTCCCGTTGCATGAGGCCTGCCGCCGCGCGGCCCCCTACCCCAACCCTGCCCTAACAACTGTCCAACCTTGAACCTAAGTAATGAGTTAGTCATGCATTTGGTTGGACAAATTCAATCTTATGATATTGGAGTATACAACTATGACTTAGTTGGAGCTTTGGTAATAAAAATTGTAAGGTCAAGGTTATTGCCTAGAAATCAATTTCACTTACTAATAGTGTAATATTTTGCTCACCCAAATTTTTTACACTAGGCACACTGCTAATATGAAAATAAGTGTGCCCATTTTCCTTTAGTTATGTGTGGCCATATGTTGAAATTTTATTTGAGTAAAATATTAAACATTTTAATATCCTCCCTCAACTTCCAACCCACCCCACCCCCCACACACAAGCACACACAAGCACCTCTCAAGCAAAAGAAATTTGCCTTTGCAAGCATGAACAATAAGAACACCAAAAAAAGGTCTATTATATCACATGATAGATAATAAATATAGTTTATGGATTGGATAGGGGGTAAAAGGAGAAACAACACGTTAAACTCCGATAAGTGTTGCTATATGCTTATATAATGAAGAAGACAATAAAGGCAAAAAAAATGACAATGAAATAACTATGCAGTATACTAGAAAAAAAAAACAAAACAAGAGCATACAAATATAAAATAAAATATGAATGAATTTGAAGTTTTTACCGTAGTTCATTTTGGTTCAATTTAAAATTAGGTTGAATTGGCTGAATTTGAATTACTCCGTTCACTAAAGAATAAAATATTATCAACAGGCTCTAACCCACAGGACACCTTCGCCCTCGTCGGCACCAACCTCCCATTGCATGAGCCCTGCCGCCGCGCCCACCTGGCCCCCTACCCCAACCCTGCCCTAACAACCGTCCAACCTTGAACCTAAATAATGAGTTAGTCATGCATTTGGTTGGACAAATTCAATCTTATGATATTGGAGTATACAACTATGACTTAGTTGGAGCTTTGGTAATAAAAATTGTAAGGTCAAGGTTATTGCCTAGAAATCAATTTCACTTACTAATAGTGTAATATTTTGCTCACCCAAATTTTTTACACTAGGCACACTGCTAATATGAAAATAAGTGTGCCCATTTTCCTTTAGTTATGTGTGGCCATATGTTGAAATTTTATTTGAGTAAAATATTAAACATTTTAATATCCTCCCTCAACTTCCAACCCACCCCACCCCCCACACACAAGCACACACAAGCACCTCTCAAGCAAAAGAAATTTGCCTTTGCAAGCATGAACAATAAGAACACCAAAAAAAGGTCTATTATATCATATGATAGATAATAAATATAGTTTATGGATTGGATCTGGGCAAAAGGAGAAACAACACATTAAACTCCGAAAGTGTTGCTATATGCTTATATAATGAAAAAGACAATAAAGGAAAAAAAATGACAATGAAATGACTATGCGGTATACTAGAATAAAAAAAAAACAAAACAAGAGCAAAAAAAGTTCATCTTTTTCTTCTCTGAGTACAAC